TATGAATTGCCCACCGTGAGACTCGATCTCACGACCACAAAGTTAAGAGTCTTGCGCTCTACCAACTGATGGTTACATACTTCTAGTAAAAGTACTAACAAGGTCCCATTAATATGCTAAGAAAGAAGTTGACCTTTGGATGATTTTGGAAAGTTTTCATCAGCTAGATCACCAAGGCAACACATTTCTAACCTTCCAATATCAATAGTAAGCCCTTTTATACATTGGTGTAACTTACATTAGTTTTTGAAGGTTATAAGCATGTTCATGTCAATTCATGGATTTATATGTTTATAGGTTTTAAAATAACTCCTAATGATCATAATAAACTCAAATAAGATACTAATAAGGTTTGAGTATCTCGTATGGCCTTTAAAATAGTTTAGAAATGGTTGAAGATGCCCAAACAAAGTATTTTTGGGTGCCAGTATTGATACTAGATGAGTCGGTATTGATATTATTCTTAGGTAAGGCAAAAATCTAAGAAATTTTAAGTATAAGTATTAGTACTCGAGTATAGTGTATCGATACTATAGGCTCAGTCTCAATACCGGATGGAGGGGTTTCGGTACTGATTTTCCATAGGGATATCGATACTACCTCTACTTTTAAGGTTGATTTAAAGTTGTTGGTATCGATACTCTGATAGGGGTATTCGATACTCCTGAGTCGGTATTGATACTGATGAGTCAGTATTGATACTACCTTAGTTTTCTTTATTAAGGAGTTGGAAATTTTAGAAACATCATTGAGGGATCCAAACCACTATTTAAATCTTCAATAAGACACCAAGTGAGAACGATATTAATCAATTTAAATTTCACGTAGAAACCCTATAGCTTAGGGAATCATAAGACTTGCATTGTTTGATGTTTGGGAAACAATACGAACACCTAAATTACTCTAGAACAGGGGAACGATTGTATTTTAAGTTATGGCCAACCCCAAAATAGTACACCAGACACTTCTTTGATAACTGGACGTAGATGTCCCAAAGCTCGACGGAGCAAGTTAGTTGGGTGTGTATTTCCGATGTAGAATTCTAGATTTTCATCCTAGGTAGGATAGAAGGGTTCGTGAGCTTCGAGATGTAGTCCTTCAGTCCCACCATGATGCCTACCTCTGCACGTATGATTTCGTTAGCATACTCGTATGCTATCATTTATGCCATAAGTATGTGAAATAGAGAAAGCACATAGTATAATTTGTTTTTTAGTGTGGCACTGAACTTGTTTGCTCAGCGTTCGAAATTTGTTTTCGTGCACAGGTTAGTAGCAGGAGCTTTTGGAGGAGCCATCGCCTAGACCTTATAACAGTCAGATGCCAACTTTTGAGTATGTCTCAGACTTTTGCTAGTAGACATGTATTGTATATAGACCTTTGTATGTCGAGCCGTAACGATAGGTGGATTATTTTATAAACTTATGTTTAAATTATTTTGGGCTCTCGTAATTGTAAAAGGAGTATTATATATTTATATGGTTGATTATTTTAATATGTGGTTTTTAAGTGATTGAATATGTGTTTTAAAAGAAAAAAATTTAGGTTAACCACTTCGGTGGTTTGTGTGACATAGTAGTCTGTCGACCTCCTAGTCGTATTGGATTAGGACGTTACATGTTGAGCTCACCTTGACCATAGAGGATCGTTCTCAGCTAGCTCTTTGACTAGCCTGGGGTGGTCACGTAGCCGTCTGACAAACATACAACTATTGTTTTCACAATGTACTTGAAATATTTTTTCCCTCTCTTTCTTTCTTTTTTTCTTTTTCAACATGTTCATCTAAAATTCCTTCATATATATCTTCTTTCTTACTTACATGATTTATCGAGAATTTAAAGTGTTTCTTTTTCTTTTTATTATACTTTGCTCACCATTCTTTCGTTCTTCTTCTTCTTTTATTTTAAATTCCTTCAAAGAGTCTTATTTCTTTATGAAAATTATCCTCAGTTATTGAATTCTTTTAGGAAGCAAGGCTATCAATTACAAGCACTCAGGTGTACTATAAAGTTTTTCTTTTTGGAAGAGAATAATGACGAATTAACTTCGATACTAAAGATCTCTTTTCCTTTAACTTCCATAATAATATGATGATGGTTATTAACTTATTAAAAAGTATTAGTTCAATCGTTCTCCATTATCACGTTTGATTTTTGTGATCTTACTAACAAAAAATTAACAGTCATTTTATAATAAATTGATAATATAAATTATCAAAAATATAATAATTAAAAATTGGTAAAAGGATATTTGAGGCCTTCGTACTTTTTTAAAAAATTAACGTGTTTTTCCACTTTTTTTTCATTTAATATAATCATTTGACCAACAATTTCGTTATTCTATACTAACGTAACATATCAAGCAACTCAACCCTATGTTTAATGCTATTATAGATTGGATAAATTATGTCATTCATCATTCATCTATTTTCTCTATTATATTTTAGTCACTAAACTTTATTTAATCACCATAACTTTTCATATTATTATTTTTGAATTAATCAATGATATCTGATCTATTGACCGACTAGTCCAGATCGAGTACTGCAGAGGTGAAGTTGAACCTTCCCTTCCAATTTGCTCCGTTGGGAAACTTTTTAAAAAAAAAAAAAATCCCACCCTCATCCCCTACCTCCAGCCCCCTCCGATGACCTCCAGCCCCATCCCTCTACAATTCCCACCCCACTCCACCCCATACAGCCTCCCTCCCTCCCTCACGTCTCCATTTAACCGGTAAGACATCGGCCACCATCACCGCCGAACTACACACTCGCCGACGTGCCACGTATATTCAACTTTGTATATTCAAAGTAATTATGTGTTTCTTGGTATTATTTGATTTTAGTGATTGCAAATCTGGGTTTTTTTTCTTGTTCTTGATTTCTTAATTTTTCAACTCTGTAGTGGTATTCAAAGTAATTATGTTTTTCTTGGTATTATTTGATTTTAGTGATTGCAAATCTGGGTTTTTGTTGTTCTTGATTTCTTGATTTTTCAACCCAGTAGTGATATTCAACGTTTTTCGGCGCCGGTGTTCATATGCTCGTGTTTCCATGGCTGCAGTGCGCGTTCTTTGTTGCATATTTGATCTGATTTGGGCTTGTAACATGCGAAGTTCAACAAATAAACCTTTGCAGGACGGGTTTTGAAGTAAGGGGTGGTCGAGAACACGATAAAAAATGAGAATATTGTGATTGTTTTCAAGTTATTCGAGATTTCATGGACCAAACTTTGAATAAAAAAATGTGGGGAAATGAGCTAAGACGATGGCCATTAACAAGAAGATGAAAACTTGGAGTTTAAAGCTATATTTTTATGGGTTCATCACTCTAAAGAGTTCTTAAAGATTTTTTAAAGTTTAATAATAAAAATAGAAGATCAAAGATAGTTGAGTAATGAATAGTATAATTTTTTTATTTATAACAATATTAATCATGTAAAAAAGGTCACATTAAATTATTTTCTTGAAATGAAATGTCACATTGAAAAATATAAAACGTTGATTTGTTTAACGTACCACGTCAACATAAAATAATAGAACCGTTAGTCAATGACGAAAAATTGATAAAATGATCGCATTGAATTTTTTTTTAAACTTAAAGCATATTAAATGTAAAAAAACAATAAGAGTCATATTGATTTTTGTTTATAAAATATGAGGGCATGAAATATTTTTTTGCCTAAAAATTAAATGAATAAAATGAAAAGACGGATTAGTTTACACACAAGAAAAGATAAAGAAAAACTCAGGGCGATGATTACAAGTGTTTTCAGGAGTGAAAACAAAAGATTCCACTGCAAAGAAAACTCGGAAATTTAATGAAAAAACCAGACAAAAGAGATTCAGAAATTGTGTATTACTCAAAGGAAACAGAGAGAGAGAGAGAGAGGGAGAAGGAGTTTCGGATGAAGAAAATGAGCAAAAGATTGAGAGTTTAAAACAATATTTGAAAGGAATTAACCGCAGACCAGAGGCAGGAGGGCTCGTTCAGGCAACCAAGTTTTATTGCAGTGAATGTGTGGACGCATGAAAAATATGTAAAATGTAAAAAAAATACAAAAAAGGTATCAGAGGTTTTTGAACATTTGAAAAAATATTCAATACCTTTTAATTTAAAAAATAAATTTAATATGATCATTTTATCAACGTTTTTTTCGTTGACCGTTACGGTACTAACGAGACAGTTTATGATGTTGATGTAGTAATTTATAGTGTTGACATGATAGTTTAGAGTGATATATTAACGTGGCGGATGATATGATAAATAGACTAAGTTGATAGTTCTAACATGATTGATGGACTACCACATCAACACTATAAATTGACGCATTAGACTATAATGATCAAAAATAAAAAATATTGGTAAAATGGTAATATTAAATTTGATTTCTAAATTAAATGACTACGTTAAGAAAAAATAATACAAGAATTATATTAATTTTTTTTAGAAAGTATAGTTTTATTAAAAAAATAAAGATTATAATTTTGGAGAGTGAGCACAAAGGGACAATCTTCTCAATTCCGAAGTCGAGTTAGATGAAGCCTTTGGTCCCAACTCCGAACAGGGTTAACCAAACTCACTTTCTGATGAAGAAGTTCCCCATTGGTAGCTCGGTTTTTGACTCAGTTCACAAAACCATTTCAGTTCAGTAAATTAACACTTCTGGGAACCAACCATTTCAGCAAATTAACACTTCTGGGAACCAACCATTTCAGCAAATTAACACTTCTGGGAACCAACCATTTCAGCAAAAGCTTTTGCATTTCTACTGTCATTTCCCTTCTTTTTTAAATGAAATTTTTAAAAGGGTACATGTGACATACAGAACAGGGATAGAAGTCGTCTTGTCAAGTCGCTGTTCTTTTTTTTAAATTGTTTTACTCTTCAGTATTTAACGTTAAATCACATCATCTCAGAATTCGAAACAGCTGCAGCAAATTCCCCAGTCCCTCTTTATTTATTAATACTCTCTCTCTCTCTCTCTCTCTCTCTCTCTCTCTCTCTGTCTCTCTCTCCATGGTGTATGGGGTTTTGCATTTGCTTTTAACTTTGTCGGTGGTATTAAAGGCAAGAAAAGGAACTAGCTTTCAAGCTTAAAAAAGTTCATGTGCTTTTCTTTTGTTCTCATTTGCTCCTGTATTTCCTCTTAGCGCCATTATTTCAATCAAAAGAGGCGAATTAATGACTAAAGAAGAAGACTTTAAGCTGCTCAAGATTCAGGTCTTTCTCTTGTTATGCCCCTCTTTTTGATTTGTTTATTATTGTTTTGAAAATCTACATGTACAACAAATTGTAGGTGATGCTGGTCTTTTCTTATGAAGAATCTTTTCTTTTCTTTTTTCTCTTGTTTGCTTTTCCTTATCTCCAGACTTGTGTTCTCAAAGTGAACATACACTGTGATGGTTGTAAGCAGAAAGTGAAGAAACTCCTTCAGAGAATTGAAGGTGCTCTTCTCACTTTTAGCATTAGCTTTCTTTCATCTTTGCATTCTTGTCATTTTCTGCTGTCTGCTTGGTTGCTGAGAAAATTATGATACCAAAAGAAAATTTGGACTGTTTCCAGTTGTCTGGGGCACTCTGCTGGGAAATTTTCCAGCTCATTGTCCCCCATAGCGTGTGTCACATGCTTTGGCTAATCTTTTATTTATTTTTATGTAATTGTGTTTGTTGTTTTCTTCTTTGTTTCCAGGTGTTTACCAAATAAGTATAGATGCAGAGCAGCAGAAAGTTACAGTCTCAGGAAGTGTTGATTCTGCAACTTTGATCAAGAAATTGGTCAGAGCTGGTAAATATGCTGAGGTTTGGTCCCAAAAGTCTAACCATAACCAGGATCAAAACCAAAAGCAAAATAACAACTGCATCAAAGATGACAACAAGAGTAACAACAACAACAACAAAAGCCAGAAGCAAGGTATTCTCAAAGGTATGGAAGCGTTCAAGAAGCAGCAGCAGAAGTTTCCCATTTCCATTCCAGAGGAAGATGATGAGTATATGGATGATTATGACGAAAAGGATGAAGAGGACGAGTTGCAGTTTCTCAAATCAAATCAGCTCGGTCAGTTGGGTCAGCTCGGCGGTTTGCTGAAACAACAAGCTCTTGATGCTTCTAATAATGCTGATAAAGGTGTTGGGAACATTAATCCCAAGAACAGCAACAATGTTATGAATGGGAATGGTGGGAAGAAAGGAAACCCCAATCAGAACATGGGAATGAAGGTCAACCCTGGTTTGTATGATCAAAAAACACTGGCAGCTCTGAAGATGAACGCTGCAGCAGCCGAGGTCAAACATGGGAATGACATGAACTCGATTCCCGGTCTGTCGGGTTTTCATGGAAATGGTGCTAATGTTGTTCCTAATGCTTCAGTTTTAGCAGCCAATCCCGGTGCTGTTGCTGGATACCATCAAGTTCAATCCAACAATTGCTTGCAGGGGCCTCATGCATCAAGTTTCCCGAACGGCGGATACGCTACGGGTCAATATCCGTCGTCGATGCTCATGAACATCAACGGCTATAACTATCCAGCATCTATGATGAACATGCAGAGCAGGCATGCCATGCAGCAACAACCTCAGATGATGTATCATAGATCCCCTTTAATACCCCCTAGCACTGGCTATTATTACAATTACAACCCTCCACCACCATACTCATTCCCTGAAGTGCACGATTTCAATGTTGATCATCAATCCACAGCAACAACCCATATGTTCAGTGATGACAACACAAGCAGCAGTTGTTCAATAATGTAACGAGAGAATGAATGTGAGTTGGTAATTCTACTGTGTAATGGGGACAAGTTTGAGTAAAAAATCTCGTGTATTGTGTAGTTGTTGAGTCTGCTGTTTATCTTTTATCTTGTGTAAGTATTTAACTTCAGCTCTGCCTGCTTGTGTTCTCGTCTCTTTTAATTCTGCACCTGGATGGGGTCGGAATAGGTCAGGCCAGACTTTAATAGGCTTGGGCCTGACCTATAATGATTTTTGTAGGCTTGAGCCTGGCCTGTGACCTGTTAAAGATTTTATTTAGACTTGGCTTGGTCTGTTTAAAAGCTTGTTTAAAAATCTGTTTAATAATAAATATTTAATATTTTCAGTTTAGTCATTAATTTTAGAATAAAATCTTTATTAAGTCACTCTAATTTAATATATTTTACAAAGTAGGCACTCTAAATAGGTCGACCTATCAGGCTTATAAGGTTTTTTAATAGGTCTAAACTTGGTATGTTTAATTATATAGACTTTTAAAAAGACCTGATATTGCCTTTTTATTAAATAGGCCAAGTCAGGCCAAGTCAGATTTTATACATATCAAACCGTAAATCACTGTAGGCCGATCTGGTCTATTCCGACCCCTACACATGGATAATGAAAATGTGATTAATCTATACAATTAAGGGGCGGGGTTCTAATATTATTCCAATTTGAGACAAGGTGACATCGGTTACAGCAACTTCACAGAGAATTATGTCAGAGAAGGTAGGACCGAGCTGGGTTGACACTATGTGTAGCGGTAGTGCTGTACAAAGACTGTGCCTTTAATTGGTTAGGTTTGGTGGATGGGGCGTGCATTGGCCATTGGTTGAGTGATGCTGCCAGTCAGCTGCGGCCAATAGGAAAAGGACAACAACCACCTTAACCTTAACCCACCATCTTTGCTCCACTCATCTTAAACTGCAAATTAATTGCAATGAGAGAACTGATTTTAAAATGGATCTCATGTGACATGCTAGTTTCAGTTTTTATTACACTGCTAGTTACTTATCAATCAAACAATTTCAGATAATTCTTTTGTTTGCAAGAGTCTCCTAGGAGTCTATAGTCTTCGAGTCAGTTACAATACAAGATAGATCTATATGATTTTTCATAGCAAAATCAAAGAAATTGATTATTAAATTTATTTAACTTTTTTGACCTACAAGTAGTTATAATAATCTTATAACTAACACCGTCAATTATAATTACTATAAATACTTCTCAATTAGGATAGAAATAATCATCTCCAATTCTCATTCATCCTCCAATATCCTCATACCAACATACATAGAAATACCAGTCAATGATTATGTCTTCATTGACTACAGCTGTCCATCCAAACTAAAAAATATATAAACCGTTAACTATGGGCGAAACTCATTTTTCCTACCAATAATTTTCTTCGGTTGACATTTAGAAAGATGGGGGCATGGTGGAGTTGGTGGAGTGCTGCAACATAAAGATGTGCAGTTTTAATTCTCACAAAGAAGAATTTAAGAGGACATTTAATAATTGCATGAAAGTAAAAGATAGAAACAGAAAGAAAAAAAGCAGGTAAAAGGTGGAAACGATGTTAAGTTGATTGTTGGTTGGTTGGATATGTGTAAAAGTAGTGAACCCGGATTGCAGGAACTCATAATCATAGCCAAAAAATATTAATGGCAGCCTCTTTTGCAGAGTCCATTAATGTCTGCGTAATTGACATAAGCACTTCTTCATGAAAAATACAAAGCACCTAGGGACGAAACTGTTGCAATACAGTTCTCTTTAAGTTGAAATGGATTTTTTCATAATTTGCAAACACAACCCCACAAGTGGGAATTAGAAATATTCCGTTACCAACAATTAATTAATCTAGGGAGCATGAATAACTTACCTCAATAATTAAAAAGAATTATTATTTTTAAAGGTCACGAATTCAAGCATTAGTAGTCGTTTCAGTAGGATGATTGAGTGTTAAGGTTATGGTTAGATTGGTGGTTAGTAAGATGGAGTTTGTTATAACTGCTTTGTAACTGTTGGAGTTTTTTTAGAGTTGTATCGTCTGAGTTTATTTCTGCTGTATAAATACAGTACATTGGTTTGTTAACGAGAGGAGGTTGTTTTGAGGTTATCTTTCTTGAATTTGTTCTATAATCTTTCATTGAGCTTTCATTATCAAATAATTAAGAATATTTAAGTAAAATCAGAGGTTCGAATCTTATGTTAGAAAAAAATGCATTTCAAGAAGAAATTTGTTGTTTGATATTATGCTTAATGTTTTGATGGAGTTGAGATTATTATTTGTTAGTTCCTTGTCTTGAATATTTAGCCGTATATTTAGCCTTTTCCCTACCTTTACCCAAACCCGTTACAACCAATAAAAGACCCTTTGATTTGTGCATCTTGTTCTTATTAGTAGTGGAGATTTGATTAACTTGCAAGCTTATGGTAATATCGTGTCGATTCTGACATTGAGCGTTTCTTTACCCCAAACACATTGAGAGATTTGAGTGAATCCCGATAAGATGTTGAGTTATGAGCATTGAGATTAATGAATGGATAGATATTACAATTGCACTTGAATTGTTCCAATTAGTGGTGTTCAATTGATTGATGCCTTGACTTGAATATTTCTTGTGGTCTCTACCTTGCTTCTTTGAATGTGAAACTTGACAAAAGAATGTTTAATGAAGTTTTTGATTTATTTGATTATATCATACTTGAGGACAAGCATGAGATAAGTGAGGGGGAATTTGATGGGTGTTCAGAATCGTCAATCTTTGTTCGTTATTTCTTCGATTTTATGGAATTATTGCTGTTAAATTGGTCGTGTTATGCTTGATTCCGTGCAAGTCTTTACTTTCCAGAATTAGTGACAAAACGGGTGCATTCTGCAATTTTTTATTATTTGGTCACGGCTGGAGACATGGGCACGACTCTGGGCACGACGCGGGCTGACGTGACGGTTTCTAAAAGGTTCAGTCAACGATGATTTCTAGAAGACTTTCTCTGCACGCCTTCTGAAAGATGGACGAGCAGAGTTGTATTAGGAGACTAGTTTAAGTTTGAATTTAAATTTGAAAAACAATTATCTTAGGATTATTTTATTTTATTTTCTTGTTTATCCTTAGGCTTTGAGAGGCTATAAATACCCACTTGAGGTAAGCCTAAACTCATCATTCGAATTACATTCTTTTTTTCTCTCTAGTTTTTATAAAAGCTTTCTCTTTTTACTTTTTATTTTTCTTTATTTTCAAGTTTGTTTTTAATATGCTAAGTATGACTTTTGTCATGCTTAGCTAAACTTTTCATAAGCCGAGAGCTTTCACGATGACTCAATTCCAACGGGAGAATTGAAACAGACCCTTAATATCTTCGAAATATTTGTCTCAATCTCTGCGCTTATTTTTCAAAATCAAAGATCGACTTTGGTCAATAGGTTGTTGCTATTAAATGTGTGGAGGAAGATTCGGCTTATAGAAAGCAAATTCGACTTCCTAGGAACACACTTGGCGAGATGGCTTCACCAAGAGGGAATTGAGATCGAAATTGACGTTTATTGAAGCAACAATCCGAGTCGGTCGCCACGAACTTAAAAGGTAATTGATCTACGACAATTGATGTTGATAGAATCAATTCCCAAAGCCAGAATCAAAGGTTGCCTTGGGTATTCGGTATACAAGACAGAGTCACAGGGATAGCCCTTGTAGACAAAGTAACCGACGTGAATCCTGAAAAGAAAATCTTATTCGATGATCAGAAGGAAATTGAGTCAAAGCAAGGCCTGAGGCTAGTTTTACCGTATTTATTTTCAATCATTATCCTCTTATTTTTACTTTAATTACTTTTATTTATTTAAACATTTTTTATTTAAATCTCATATTCCAAACTCTCCTTTTTACTATTCACGCCTAGTTAGAACCATTCAAACATAAAATTATGATTTTCTAATTCCCTGAGGATTCGACCCTTATTTCTCTATACTAAGTATTTCTTTATTTATTTAATTGAGAAAAAGAAATTTATTTGACATCCAAAACGACAGTTGTCAGCGGGCGTGATTTCTTCCTAAAAAATCACAATACTTCTAAAATATTTTATAGCATTGCGTTAATATTGCGTCGTTGTGACATTTAAAACTGTTACGATGTGGCCGTTACACTACGTTGCAGCCGTAATTTAATACAATGTATATCCATAGTTCAATATTGTATGTAGTAACAAGAAGAAGAAGCAACCCTTCTTTTCTTTTACTATCTTTGGCTATATACTTTCTTTTCCCCTTTTTATCCGATTGCTATCATATCTGAATATTATATCAATTTTAGGGTTTAGTCTTTAAGAAGACAATGAGTAAACCTTGCTGCGATAAGAAAGACAGAAATAAAGGGGCTTGGTCTAAGCAAGAAGACGACGAGCTCATAAATCACATTCGAATTCACGGTGAAGGTTGCTGGCGTACTCTCCCTCAAGCTGCAGGTTAATTCATATCTACTTTTATATACAGTAATTAATATTAAAATCCCGAAATTACAAAATTTTAATAGAACAAAATTAAATAATCTATAAAAAACACAAATAAAATATTTAAATTATATTAAAATTTAAAATTTTCAGACAAGGATGAATCAAGGGGTGCTAATGGGAGTGTGATCGGACTCCCTAGAAATTTAAAATTCCCTTATATTTTAAGTATTTTGAATCCTTATTTTTGAATTTCTAGATCCGCCTAGTGGTTCATACACCTAACAAAAAAAAATTATATTCGTCTTGTTTTCAAAGGTGCTACCACATCCATCACCTTCTCTGTCCATCCATGTGCATGTCAATGGAAAACAAAGAAGACAACTTTTATAGTATTATTATTTTTTCTAAATAATTAATAAAAAACAATAATTTTTCTAAATAATTGGTTTAGGGCTCCTTCGATGTGGGAAAAGCTGTAGGCTGAGATGGAGAAATTATCCGAGGTCTGCATTAAAAGTTAAAACAGGTACTGAGGATGAAGATGATCTCATTATCAAGCTTCATGAACTCTTAGGCAATGGGTACCATTTCTCTCTCTTTTATACCCCTTTTTTTCTTTTTAATATGTATAAAATTTATTTAGTATTCTTTCACTGTCATAAAATAAATCAGGTGGTCGTTGATAGCTGGAAGATTGCCCGGAAGAACCGATAATGAGGTGAAGAATTATTGGAACTCTCATTTAAGAAGGTAGCTTATGAATATGGGTATTAATCCAAGTAACCATCCTTTAATCACTCGCAATCTGCTTCCTCACCCTCAAATTCAACATAATTCCAATACTGCTGCAAGTGAAGTACCGATTACCGGTGATACTAAAATTCATCCGCCGTCGAAACCCAGGCGTGACAACGATCAAGTTTCCGATGCTGCGAGTTGCTTGGACAATAAACCAAAACTGCTAAATACCCCACTACACCTATAGCTTTGGACAACTTGACTAAAACCAAAACTGCTAAATACCCCAGCTAACCATCAGCAAAATAAAAGCAGTTTCAACAGGAAAACACAGAATGCAAAAATAAAATTCCTATAGCATGGAAAAAAAAACCATAAACCCACTTCAGGAGCCAGAATAGATCAATCCCACCAAGCTTTGAACAACATAGAGCACAGCAAACGTTGTTTCGCCAAATGGTCCGCAAACCCATTCCCCTCTCTCGGGACATAGACAAACTTAACTCCTTCAATCCGCTTAAGATAGCTATCAATCTCCTCAAAGATATCCCGCCACCTCCAAGGTCTCTCAGATGACGATTCAATCCATTTTAACACCAACTGCGAATCCGATTCAATAGAAAGACTGAAGTTCTCACACCAGCCCGTTTCCAAGAATAATGCCAAAACCGTTTTTATTGCCATTAGTTCAGAATAATCTGAATTAATAGGATCCACCGGAGCAGAGAACAATGCTTTGGTATCTCCCTTGCTATTTCTCAACACACCTCCGCAACCCGCAGACGGGTCTTTGAAAGCTCCATCGACATTAAATTTCAAACAACCCTCTGAAGGGGGACACCAGGACACCAAAGGAGGCTTTAATGAAAAACATTCAGCAAGGGTGTTCCACCAATCTGCTTCTACCATAGGAACATTTTCATTAATAGCTTTAATCCATATAAGCGCTCTCATTTTCACAAAGAGAAGAAGGTCCTTTTGATAAATCACTTTCTTTTCAAAAATCAAATCATTTGATTAAAGGTCCCCTTGCATTGGCTAGTTACTTATACTGATGTTCTATATTTTATATAAATAAATCTGGAGGATATACAAGGCATTATCTGTTTAAAGATTCAATCATTTGATAATGAACGCTTATATCCTTGAATATGCGATGCTCAAACCAACAACAAACATTCATACTCCTAACATATGTAGTGCTCGAATTTAGAATCTCAAATAATAATAATTGGTATTATATTTATATATAGCTTATCTAAATCTTAGTCATGGAAAAAAGCCTCTGTTGCAGTTATAAATCTACTTGGCGGTTATCACAAACTTTTCATCAAGGGCAAGCCTGCAGCGGTGGTGGTCTCCTCCGGCCATTTCCCTGTCATCTTATTTTTGTTAATCGTTTGATTCTATTAGTTTTTAGTTATATTTTAACTATTTAAAATAATGTTTTTTCTCGACCCTTTTTCTAGTAAAAGATATCATGGTTACTGGTGATTTTGGATTTTCGGTGCACATTTTTTCATTTGTCTTCTTCTTGGTCTATGGTTCTTCGAGATTTCATGGTTGCTTGTTTTTTCGATGACTGGTTCCTTTGTTCGTTTGAATATGACATTATGTTGGTTCTCGGATATGTGTCAGACAATACTATGGTTAATGTAAGATTCGTTTTTCATTCATTCACTTCGAATATTCTTTAAGTTTTTCTCCTCCATATCTGATGCTTTGGGACGTCGGAATGATCCATCTCTGTATGTCGTTGTCTCAATTGTTCACGCTATTGCTCATCATGTTGTTATTGAACGATCACCGTTATATTCTATTTATGATAGACATAAATGTATTTGTCTTGTATGCATATAACAAGACGTTGATGATGTTTTATTTGATCAATGAATATATTATAGTTGCACTTTCAAAAGAAAAAAATCTTAGTCATAGGCTCTCCTGATTATGAACAAGAAAACGAAAATGGTGAAATAGAATCTACGGTGACAAAGAATCTTAGGCGTGCATTGGCGAAATCAAATATTCAAAAATTAGATACATTTTTAATATATGATGTAGGTTGGATGAGCATATGAAAATATTAATGATTTAAAAGTTGAAAAATGTGAATTTGACGATTCATATGATGGTGGAATGGAAGTATAGATGAGATTTTTGATTCGGTTGACGGTGAAAATAAGAAAGTAGTATATGTTTTAAATATTCTTAATTATTTGACAATAAATGATTAATCACTTTTGCCGTTGTTGGTGTTCAAACTTAACCTCTAAGAACAACAACGATTTCTTTAACCACTGAAATAAGTTGGTTCGTGCTATCAAATGGAATATTAATAATGAAGTATATAAATAAATTGTATAAAATAATATATATTTATTATATTGTGATAAATTCAATAAGGGTGATATTTAAAAGTCTCTCTAACGAGATCAGAATTCTTTTGAAATCTTGATAAATATTTTACTGATTAAAATATCATATAAATTTTATCTAAAAATACATGCGTTTTCATTTTGTAAATATATATTTAACTTGTATCTAATTAGATTAAGTGGAGAACAGCAACAATAATATTTTATATTAAGTAGTATATGTTTTAAATATTTTTAATTATTTTATTTTGAATGCTCTAATATCTTGTTGCAGTTGTTGATGTTCGAATTCGTGACCTCAAAAAATAATAACGATTCCTTTAAACAGTAACATAAATTTATCTGTGCACAGAAACAACACATACATTATAGCCCCAATTATTCAATATAAAACAGTTATATTAAAATACCCTTAAAGTTTATCACTACAAGAGTACAAGACTGTGCGGCGGATCCATTAAAAGATGAGATTGGATATTTAATATGATTTAATTAATAATTATTTATTTTATTAAATGTATCAAATTTAAAATTTTATTTATATTTATTTTGTATAAAAATTATATATATATATATATATATGATAAGATCCAATTATATTGTGTAAAATTATTTTAATTTTACACCTTTTTAGGATCATTGGATGAGAGAAATTAAAGGTTGAGATTAACAGTAGAAAATGAGAAAATGTTCATTGAAAAAATGACTAAATCTCAACCTTTGATTTCTCTCAATCCAACGGTCCTAAAAATGTGTAAAATTAAAAGAATTTTACATAAGTGGATCCTAACCCTATATATAGGGGTGAGCGTCCGATCGAGTTGAGTCGAGTCAAGTCAAAAAATTTCGAGTTATTCGAGTTGACGAGTCATATTTTACAACTCAAAATTGACTTGAAATTTATTTTCGAGTCAGGGCGAGTAAGACTCGAAAAAAAAATCAAGTTGAGTCGAATTTTTGAGTTTCTATTTAAATTTAATTATAAATATTTATAATATTATGATATTATTTGATTCCAATTTAAATGCTTTTTTATAACCATATACAATATGTAATACCCCAAACATTGGATCAATAACTGAAATGTAAGGATTTAAAATTGGTGGGTTGATTTGAATAAATTAAAAAGTTCAAGGACTGATTTTGGAATTTATGTCTAGGACTTATTATCAAAGATGTAAGAATGGAAGGGCAAAGTGATCTTTTAGCATGAATGAATTTAAAATTAATTTCTTAGGACTATATAACATGTGATAAAAAGGAAGAAAGAAATAAAGGAAAAATTTGGAAGCTTTTCTCTTCTTCCCACCGTGAAACTCCATAGATAAGGTGATATAATTTCAAGTTGATTATTTCTTGAAATTTTAAATTGGTTTTGATTATTTGGGTTGTATAAAAGTTTAAGGAAGCTTAAAAATGGATAGAAGCTAAGAGATTTATGAATTAATGGTTAATTAGTAAAATGGGTTTTTAAGAGAATTGATTTAAATTGATTTTATTTGGATTTTTAAAGATATATTTGGCTTGTCAAGGGTTTAATTAAGGTATGAGAGGTATTAGAAAAGATTGGAAACATGTTTGAAGAATTAGTATGGTTTTTAGTTTCAAGAGTTCTATAGAGAATTTTTGATGTTAAAGGGGTTTTAATGGACACAAGTTAGTTGGAATGAGTGTAAATGAGTTTAAGAGTTTGTTTTGGGTTAAAAGTGTTAGATTTAGGTGAGTTTTGGGTAAATTTCGAAGTGGAATGGGTGAATTCTGGGCAATGGTATCAGTATTGGAAGAACAGTATCGATACCATATAAATCAGATAAACATCGGGATTGAAAGTGTAGTATCGATACTAGGGGCATCGATACCAATAGTAGGGTATCGATACTATAATAGAAAAGGAATTCCAGAATACAAAAGGGTATCAATACTGAAGTGAGTATCGATACCATAGAAGTGAAGTATCAGTACTGAGTGTAGAGTATCAATACTGCTTATATTTGAAAAAGAAAGAAAGAGAATTTGGTGTTTCCTTTAGTATATGAAAATGATGATTTGGTAATAACTATGTGAGATTCAATATTCATTTTGGTTATTTTCATATGCAGATTTCGATCAAGTGTAAGTACTGGACGACTCGATGTAGTAAGAGAATTACACTACAAGAAAATATACCTTTAATGACACACGAAATATGACACGCTAATTTATGACTTACAAAAAATGTGTGCTATAAAAAATGTCATGTTTCTTAAAATTTGAACGATTTATGACTTACAATAATGTGTGTCATATTTAATAGTCATAATCCAAAAAAAGTAACAAACACACGGAGTACACTTTTCATTGTGTGTCATCTCTAAAATTCGTCTTTTAATTTCCCCCCATTATTTTCATCCTTTCCCGCTTCTAGTCCTCTTCGATAATCAGTTCACGCACGCAAGTTTCCCCCATTTTTCTCTTTTTCCCTTTTTCTATTTGCATCAGTTCACGCACGCATGCTTCCCCCCATTTTCTCTTTACATTCCGATTAGCACAACCGAATATGCACTATCACAAGGCCTCTTGGTCGATCCACTGGTTTCGCCACTCACCGAAATACAAACGAAATATAGCAACAATTCAAATATTCAAGTCAAACAATCTACAATCTCACAAGGCCTCTCGGTCCACTGGTTTCGCCATTCACCACAACGCAGATGAAGGGAGTTAAAATTCAAGGGTTTCCATAGGTATTCCTCGTTCTCTATTCCACAATTCAATTTCGGTTTGTTTCAGTTTCAATTGGGTTTTTTAGATTTTATGAATGGGTCATAACCCTTGAACATTGTTCTATAGCATAGTACAAAATGAATTTGTTAGGGTTACTTTGTACTCGGTAATTTTTTTTACATATGTTTCTAGTAAGGAACATTGTTGTTAAGTTGTTGAAATCCACATTTGATGTATGTAGGATAAGAAAATTGATTTATTTTAATAAATAATCTTGTTTGTATGATTTTAGGTTGGTAGAAATTGTCTAATGGATAGTCCGATTCTACAACCATCTTTAATTCTTCAAGACGAGATTTCATGTATGAAGGAGAACACAAAAATTGTTTGTGGTGAAATAGAGAAACCCGCTTTGTTGATTTCTATTTTGTTTGATTTAATGGGTTTGATGCTTTTACTTCATATATGTTGAAATTGAATCGAGATTTGTTGCTTGTGTAATTTTCTATTATTTGATTAATCGTTACTGATTTGTTCTTTTCATAGGTTCTTTAAGTGGGTTATTTCGGTTTTTATACTTCAGTGGACTCTTGTGCTAGTTCTTGAACTCTTTTTGCTTTTTGGGTTTTGATGGATTATGTATTTTGGTTCCAAAATGTTGAATTTTGATTGTCTTTTGATATATGTTTTTTTATGCTTGTTGAAATGTTTACAGACATATCTTGTTTCCAAAGCCTATTCGTTTACCCCAATGTCGATTATTTGTTGCTTAAAAACTTTTGCATTTACCACATTGATGTTATATTCCTGTGAATTACTTTATTCCTGTGAATTTGTATGTAAAACTCTTTCTCTGTTGCAACGGGAGAAACA